CTCTTGCCGAGGAATGCCAAGGTTGGGAGGGTCTCTGGAGGGCTGAAGTCCAACCTCCTGCTCAAAGCAGGGCTAATTTCAGGTTACTCAGGGCCTCCTCCAGCCAAATTTCAGTGTTTCCAGGGAAGGAGCTTCTTCCACCCTACCTCAGGGTCCTTTTTGTGGCAGTTAATCGCTGCCTCAGCAAACCTTTTTTTTTCCCTTCCTCATATTTGGTTGGAATTTCCCTCGTTGCATCTTGTAACCAGCTGCTCATCCTTTCTCTGGACACTTCCAAGGAGACTCTGGCTCTGGCCTCCCTCTTGTCACCCCCCCTCAAAGAGCTGAAGGGAACAACTCGACCCCCCCTTAGCCTGTTCCTCTCCAACCTGCCCTGTTGCACGGGGTCATTCAAGCCCAGAGCTGAGGTTTTGATGGACTTCATGAGCTTCTCTGAACTTCACCTCTCCCCAAACACTGACCTGTTGAGCTTCAGAGAGATGTGGGAGGAGCTGGTGGCTGAAGGAGGTCAGATCCTCTCTCTAGAGGATTTGGGGGTGTGGAGAAGCAATACCTCTCCTCTTGTAGGAAGTTTTTGGAGCAGATAGAGGCTCTGATGGGGCTTCATCTTTGTCTGCTGCTTCTGCATCAGCATATTGGAGAGGTGGGAATATAAAACCTTGCACCTTGGCACCTTTTGCAGGCACTAAAGCCCTTGGACTGAGCCGTGCTCATCAGAAACCTTCTCATGTTGCCCTTTCTCCTGGGGATGAGTCAGGCTCTTGATGCACGGCCAACAAATTATTGATCCCTCTTGAAAATAAACCCACCTGCATCAGCCTCTGGCTTCCTGGAGCTGCTTTCCAGAGGGGTTGGGGTTGGAAGTGCTGCTCCCTTGTCCATCAGGGCTTCAAGAGGGGGAGAAGAGGTCCTGGTGGGGGATTTGAGGAGGGGCAAGCATCAAAGCTGCCCGAGCTGCTTTGTCATCTGCCTAATGACAGAGCCTTTGCTCACTCGTAGGTGGTTCAGAGCTGGGCTTTGGGCTGATTCATCTTAATTGGTGCAGAGGGGGAAGTGGGTGTGAGGAGAAGTCCTGGGCGAGGAGCCTTTGCTGTTGAGCTGCTGCTTATGCTCTGCAGCTGCTCCCTGGGGAGTGAGCAGATGAAAGGGGGGGGAAAATAAAACAACTGTAGTCTGGTAGACATGGGAGAGGTGGGAAATCCCTGTGGGGATGAGGGGAAGGGTTTCCAGGGGGTTTTTCCTCCTCTCTTTTCTTCCCTTGAGGTCTGATGTCACAAAAAAATGAGAAGGAAAAAAATCAAAGGGAAAAATAGAAGAGAAACTTTAAAGGGGAATGATTTTGTCAGAACAACAGTAGAGTTGAGACTATCACTGCTGAGCTCCAGCCTCTCTGAATCCAAACAAAGGGGGGCAATGCTGTAAAACGAGCCCAAATTGGCCAAACCTCAACCTCTGCCACGTGTTTCTTGCTGGTGCCAAGCAGAGAGGCTGCAAAGCAGAACCAACAATTAACCAGCGAGCAATCGGATCCCTGAGATAAAATTAAGGGTGGTTTAATGAGGGGCAGAGGAAGGGAAGGTGAAAACTCCAGGCTATCAGGTTTGTGCCCCGTGAAGGAGAACTC